TGGACGTTCTTGGGAGCCTCGTGGGGGCCTCTTAGAGCTTCCTGGGGGTCTCTTGGGAGCCTCTTGGGGCTTCGTGGGGAGCTTCTTAAGGGACTATGGGGGCCTCCTAGGAGCTTCTGAGGCCGAGGGTTCTAAATGTCCGGTCGAGTCTCCAGTCTGGGCTCTCTCTTGGAGCCGTCTTGGGGACCTCTTGGGCTATCTTGGAGGCGTCTTGGGCGATATTGGGGCGGTATTTGGGGCCTCTTGGCCTGTCTTGGAGCGTCGTGAAGCTGACAAGGCGAGAATGCCCAAGTCTTTCAAAACCTAAGGGAAATCTATGATTTTTGCTTCTTGGGGCCCTCTTGGGAGTGCCCTTGGAACGGGAACTTCCGAAGCTGTCTGGAGGCTATCGCGACTTGGAGCGATACTTCGGCGATTCGGGGCCCTCGAGGCCACTCTTGGGGGCCTCTGGAGGCACTTTTGCTACGTCTTGGGGATTGTCTGGGCTCCCGAACCGCCTGGAGGGGAGTCGTATCTGACCCGGGACCCGCCCCGGAACCACCCCCTGGGACCTCCCCCGGGCCCCCCCCCCGGACCCCCCCCCCCGGCGGGGAAGGGATCAAAGGGAAAGGGCTTCCCTTCGACTCAACTACAGCGCTGCTCAAGTTCGCTGTGGCTGGCGCGCTCGAGGAGGAGGGCCCGGTGAAAGTGAAGGCAGCGGCGCCAGGCTCAGGGAAAGGGAGGAGACCGGCGACGGCGACAGCGACGACGACGACAACAAAGACCACGACGACGGCGAGGACGAGTCAAACGGAACAGCCTCTTCCACACGCCGACAGGGTCGGTGGATTTGTTATGTATATATGTATATATGTATATGTATATATATAGATGCAGCTATGTGTATATATACATATGTATATATAAGTACCCCCCGAAAATAACTGGCCGCAGGGGCCAACTGGCCCTGTGACACCCTCGGACGCCCTCGCGGGGGGGTCCCAAGGCCTTATGGGCCTCCTGGAAGGTCGCGCTGAGCGGCCAAGTGTCCCCGCGAGAGGCCCAAGCAGGGCTCGTTTCGATTCGTCCGATTCGATTCGATCCGACTTCGATGGATTCCGATTCCGATTCGGTTCGATGTGAGATTCCGATTTTGGCTCCGATGTCGTATTGGATGCACCGATTTCTGCCGATTCGACTTTTCCCGACTTGGCTGCCGATTTCCGCCGATCCGATTAGTTTCGATCGCCGATCCGACTTATCGATTCGATTCTGGGCTCTCCTGCCCACCAGACGGCCGAAGACGGCCTTAAAAGCACCCTGAAGCGGTTTTCGAAACATCTCTCTCGGCGAAGGGACCAACCACCTGCAGTTGTGGGTACCGCAGTTCTGAGGGTTGTCTTCGGTGGAGCTCCCTGTGGCCCTGTGGGGCCACGAAACATGTGAGGGGTGCGCCGGCATGAACGGAAAGGCGCATGCGAACTTTGCCAGGCTTGCCGCGAAATTTCCTTTTGACACGAGGTATGCGCATCCGAGCAGATGACAGCTGGGAAGTCGCTGCGCGCCCCAATTCGCCTTCACGCAGGGGGTCTCGCGGCTGGAACCAGTCCACAGAGCCGCCGAACCAGCTGCCATCGTGAGCGAGGAGTTCTTCCAGCAGAGTCTTCTGCGTGGGAGTAGCCGTGGCCATCAGCCATTCGCTGTGCAATGCAGCCATTGGTGGGCCAAGTGGCCTTCAGGCTGCAGACTGCCAACCTTGGCAACCACCTCCTTGGACTCCGACTCCATGCCCACGAGCATGTGGTACAGGTTGCAGTGGTTGGAAGCGAACATTGTAGGTCAGTTTGTTGATAACCAGGCTACGGTGCCCCAGAAGGCGCTTGCTTGCTTTTCGAAGGTGGCTTATCACGGCATTGCATGGTTCAGAATGAGTTGCCACACGTGTTTTCTCGCCTCTGGTGTCTGGTGCGGTGCTCTTTCTACATACCACCATTGGGTGCCACCTCCCTCAGGTGCTCAGTGATACTACCAGGATGGCTGCCCTAAAGCTCGATGTCGCACAGTTCATCGTTCTCCGCTTGTCTATCAAATTATCTCCGTCTCTCTCTCTCTCTATCTATTTCTCTGTCCTGTTCTCTTTCTCCAGACATCGTAGTCCAGAAGCATGCCGTCTTTGGTCGTCCGCTCTTGGAGGATGTCTGCGAGGTAGATCGCCCCTCACGGCGCCTGTGCTGGTGGGACCAGGGCCCGCGCCACAAGGTCGCCCACGGCAGCTGGCCGTGGAGGAGGCTCGTTTTGCAGGCCCCGGTGGGACTTCGCAGGACGTGGCCGACAAACAGAGACGCGCGCTGCGGCCAGGCCAGCCTCGACGGTGCCCAGGGGCACGTCGAAGTCTACGCTGCCGAGGCCTCCGACCAGCCTCGACGAACACACAGCTGCATAAACATCGATCTTCGGAGTTCCACGTGGATCTCTTGGAACTGCGCTTGCCCCCCTTGGCGGCTCCTCTGGCCCCAGGCGCTCTCCGCGCGCCAGGGAGGGGGGGTCCAGCGCTAGCTCCGAGAAATTACAGTCAACCCGCATAGTAAGGATGGGCGACCTTCCCAAGGGTACCCTTGCATCCTTGCCCCTTCGGCCCATCCTCAGCGACTTTCGCTGGCCAACCTCGTTCGAGAAACGTCAACTTGGCCCCCAAGGCCCTTGCATCCTTACAGCGCGTTCTCATGATACGGGTTGGCTGCATGTTCATGCCGGTTTTTGTTCCCCTGCGGTCGCCGTCTGGCTTGCGCGCCACGTGCGCGGGGGCCTTGTTGGTTTAGGTATGACGTCGGCTCGCTGCTGCATGTCGTGCTCGTCGGAGGCGAGAGAGCGCTCCAGCGGAACTCCTGCCATCATCTGGGCCATGGGGTCCTGGTGCTTCTTGTCGAAGCTGTCGTAGGCGATGCTGCTTATCCCTCTGCCTTTGAGGGGAATCCTAGAGTCCTCGAGTCCTCACGCGGCGCGCGATAGTTGTTTTGTTTGGCCCACACGTCCACTACGTAAGATCTGGGTCGACGTTCGCGCGGCGTTGCCCCGACGCAAGTGCGACGAATCCGACGTCACTCCCACATACATCTGTCGCAATTCAACGTAAGCCCGACGTAAATTGGGTCTCAAGCTGCCTCGTGAGGCGTCCAGCATTTTCCTCATAACTCTTCGGTTCCGAGGGTGGCGAGGTGCTGCACTTGGAGGGCTGCTGGGCCTGCTCAGAACTGCAGCTGGGCCAACAGTGCGGCTTGCCCTGCCACCAGTCGCTGCCGCACTGCCAGGCCGTCCCCAAGGGCGTCCTCGTGCGACTGCCGCGTTCACCGCGAACTACTGTACAACGATTGTTGCGGTCGCTGTGGTCGTTTTGATTGTTGCGATCGTTGTGATGGTTGTGCTCGTTGTTGTCGTCGTGATCGTTGTTCTTGTTGTTTTCGTTGCCGTTGTTATCGCTGGGCTGCTTCGTTCCTGGGGGCTGCCGCGAGGCTGACAGCGGCCTTTGGGTGAGTTGTTGCTGGCCTAGTGGCCGAGGGGACCAGAGGCCCCGCTCTGCGCGCGGTAGCAGTACTCAGTATCGTTTAACCGATCCCATCCCCATCCCCATTCCGACCCCCACCATCCCACCGCCCCAGTTGGGGATATGCCCCTCGAAGCCCGAAGGGGACAGCCTGTATCGCTATCCGTGGGTGGGGGGTAAATCGGCCAGTGGAGCCCAGGTCACGCCAGTGGGGATAGGCATCGGTCAAACGATGCTCACGTGCGGCCTGGCGGGGCTGCTGTGCGCGATGCCGGCGGCCATCGTCGTGGCGGCGCCCCGCGAAGGGCGGGCCTTGTCCTTGCCGGCGCAGCCCGTGTGGGGACCGCGCCGCTTGCGGCTCCACGACGCCGATGCACCAGACGATCCGGCCCTCACGCCAGCCGCCGGCGCCCGCGCGTCAGGGGCGGCGCCGGAGGCGCTGCTGGTGTCCAGCGCAGACCCAAGAACTCCGCGCGGAGCGCCAACAGTTTGTGTTCATGGCGTTTCTCCTCGGCCTCGGGTTCGCGCCTGTGCGTTCTGGCCGCATCTTCCTTCAGCGGAGTGCGGAGTCGCCCGTAGCGGCGCCACGCACGACGAGTCCAGCCAGTTCCGGCAACGGCAGTGGCCACTGCATGGTGTGGCACCAGCGTGGTCGGCGCGACTCGAATGCCCAAACGCCTTCAAGGTGTACAGAAGGGCACATGTTTTCTTCCCACTGGCCACGCGATAATAGACTTTCGTTTTTCTCTACCGCCGCGCCTTGCATTCGGTCTTACATAATCAGCGTAGCCGCGCCCAGTCCTGGTCTAGACCTCCTGGCTAGATCTGAACGGGACGTTAAGCGATGAAGGAGAGTAGAGTGGTTCCTCTTCCTCGTCCCACCTTGCTTGCAAAACGCGCAGGTACAGATTGACGTTTCCAACCGTTTCGCCTTCGCCGAACAGACATCAACGGCTTGCCAGCAAAACAAGTAAAAGAGTGGGGGGACCACATTCGCCTCCCTCGCGCCTTCCATGCAACCGAATCCTTGGGATAGGGGTAGCGGTGAGCACAAGAAGGTCTGGCCTGTGAAGGTTGCCCAGAAAGGCTGAGTACCAACCAACCCTGGCTGGCTCCAGGCGAGCAGCTCCCTGTGCAGCTTCAGGAGCCCGCTTTCGCTCGCCCACTTCCACTGCAGGGGGGCCTGGGTGGGTGCTTCATGGCGGGGGAAGTCGACTACTCTTAGGAGCGACCCTTCGCCTGAGTGACCATTGGTGGTGCGTGGCTTTCGGGAGGCGCCGGTTGTGGGGGGGGGAGGGGAAGACCCGAGCGTGCAGGCTTCTTCTGTCGCGTCGTGTGCAACGATCGGTAAGCCGCGCACCAGATGCCGCCAGTGCCTAGGGCCATGTCACTCAGGCGGGTTCCGAGGAAGGGGCAGCGCGGCGCGTCTGCACTGAGCTTCGGCTGGAGGCCCTCGGGGCGGGCCTCTCGGGCCCGCCAGCCGCAGGCGGTACTGCGGCCGCAGCTGCGTCACGGGCCTCAGCGTGTGCAACGAGCCCTCCAATGAGATCCCGCTGGCCAGGCTCTGGAGGGCGCCAGCGACACACGCACGGCAGGTTCGCGCCGCGCCGCCGCGGCGGCGACCTCGGCGACCTCGGCGCGGACGCTCAAGTCAAGGTTGAGCGTCGCCGGTGGCCCAGCATCGGCCGACATCGAGCGGAAAGTCGCGATCGCTCAAGGTTTAGGTCGGGCATGTCCTCCTACAGGCATGCCCGGCTTAAGTCAAGGTTGGACGGTCCACGCGGCGTCAGAAGCCAATGCGCAAGTCGTTGCACGAGGTGCCCTGCGGACATCATTTGTCGCCCGAAGGCCCCAGGGGCCCTCAGAAGTCTTTGGGCGTCTCAGGAAGGAAGGAAGGAAGGACACGGATCGACGACACATGTACCCCAAGTTTTCTTCCAGAGAACAAGCAGTGACATAAACAGGACCCCCTCCATGGCGCGCGGAGCGCGCCTGGGGCGGCGCCAGAGGCGCCGCCAGGGCTCCCCGGCGCCGATCCGAGGAATCCGCGGACCTCCAAGTTTTTACGTTTACGCCATTATCTGACGTGCGGTAGGTTCGCGTCGTGTCCACCAGCGGCGACCCCTCCGCTGGCGTTCAACGTTGAAAGCCGCTGGCGACCCAGATTCGGTCGATTTTGAACGTCAGAGGGAGAAAAGTTATCCATACTGCTACCCGTCGCTCGTTTTCCCCTTGTTCGGCTTCCTGGGTGACCCTCGTCGCCACCCCTGAATTCGCATCGAAATTCTGGTCAGAACGCACCCCGGGAGAGGTTCGAGGAGTAGCGGTATCAGTACCTTCTGTTCCCCAGAACGATCTGACGTTTCGGAAACGGCCGATCGTTCAAGGTTGAGCGATCCCCGCGGTGTCAGGAACCAACGCCGGGGTCGACACGACACGAACCCTCGGTAGTCTGCGTCCCTCTCGAGGCTCCTGAAGTACTACGACGACGCGTGCGGCGTCGTGCGCAGCAGCGGGATGGCGGCCAGCAAGGTCGCAGTGGTGCTGCCCTGCTTCCAGCGGGACGAGGAGACGGCGGCGGGGCTCAGGAAGATGCGCGTCCCTCTCCCCCCTCTCCCCTCCTCTTCCTCCACTTACCCTCCCCTCTCCCGCTCCACTCTCATTACCCACGGCTCCCCTCTCGCCCCCCACTCCTCTTCTCCTCTTGGCAGCGAGTTCGACTGAGGGAGCAGGCCAGAGCGGCTCAGTCCAGGGTTCATTGTACGCTGTTGGTCTGTCTAGCCAGGGTGGAGCAGTCCATGGGATACGTTGTCGGTGTACGCTGTTGGTTTTCGATAGTGCCCCCCTCCCCCCTTCCCAGAAGTTGTTGTATTATGTGGCTTGGGAACACGGTGATTTAGTTGAGCATTCCCCCTTTGGGCAGTCCCTTCTATTCCATTCCTCTCCCCTTGCCCTCCTCTTCCCCTCCTTCCCTCCTTCCCTCCCCTCCCTCCACTCACCGGTGTGAGGGTCGGGCAGGATGGGGAGGTGTGAGCAGCCCTTCGCTACCCAGCGCTCCGACGTCCCATGAGGTGGCCCGCGACTGGCAGGCGATGACCGGGGGCAGGCACAAAAACATCTGCTTCGACGTGCACTGCTACCACTGTTTCGAGAACGCGTTCATGGGCACCGGGGGCACGCAGACCAGACCGGTACTGCCCATCCCCGGATCTCTCCTGGGGGAGAGCGCCCTAGCCCGGACTGCGAGGCGGGTCTGGCCATGGCGACGGGTGCCTTCCCCAGTGGGCCCGAAGAGGCGAAAGACGAGAGAAGGGCATCGGCATGGCCAGAGTCCCTGTCCTCCGCCGTCGCACACTGTCCGTGAGGTCGGGCCCCTGCATGGGCACTGGCCTCTTGCAGTTTGGCGGCGCTGCCTCCCGAGCCGTTCTTGGGGACGGCCCCATCGTGGCCGGGAGGCGCAGGGGCACCGTCCAGAGCCCTGCCGCCGCGATGTTGTGGCGTCGCCCAGATCCGAGGGTCTGCTTCCCCCGCGTGTCCTGCTGGGCCCAACAGAGAACCACAACCACAACTGAGTGGATTTTTTGGGGAGGGCCCCTCGGGGGAGAACCCACCGACGTCGACAGCAGCACTCTGGTTGTGGTTGTGGCCGATTTGGCCGTGCTGGGACGCCACGTCGGCCACAACCAGTACGAAGCTGGCTTCGGTGTTCCGACAACCTTTGGCATGCGCGCGACATCCCCCCGGGTGTGTCTTCGATGTGGTTGTGATCGCTCGCTGCCCCCGCGTACCCCGCTCTCGGGACACAGTTCGGGCCTCTGGCTTCTGTTCGAGAAGATCCCGGCACCCCCAGAACGCTTTCGGCGGCTGCACATCACCCCGAGGCTGGAAGACCTTCTGGGACCGAGGAGAGCACCCCAGACCCTCGAGCATGAGCTTCGCGGGAGGGAGGGAGAAGGAGTATAGATGACACGCCGCCGCTGGGAGCCCGTCGGCGTGGTACTCCTTCGTTGTTGTCCGAAGGCCCGGTGGGCCTTCCGCAGTAACACGCCGATGGGCTCCCCAGCAGCGGCGGGTCATGGATGCTTCCTTCCCAGGCATGCGATGTCTGGACTTTTTCGATACGGGGCCCCGGGAAGTCCCGACCCAGTTCCCGGGACCGGCTGTTCCTCCTGAGTCGCTCTCGACGGTCCAATGGGGCACGGCGAGGGCCTCTGGAGGCCGACCACGGCGGCAAAAATCCTCCCGTCGGAATGTCTGCCAGCAAAAAACCTCATCGTGTCTGCGTTTGCTCTCCGAGCTCCGGGGAGGCATGAGCTTCGCGGAGCAGCTCCGGGCCGTGGAGTCGAACGCCGAGATGCTCCGCACCTACCCCATGGTGGTCGGCGAGTGGAGCCTAGCGCTCGGGTGCCGCTGCCGGGGGGGAGCCCCCCGCCGGCCACTGCGCGTCATTCGGGGGGCAGTCCCAGAGCCCCATCGGGTCATGAACAAAATCACGACAGGCGGTTTTGTTTGCTATGTTCGGACTCTGGGGGGCCTTGTCGCAAAACTGTGAAAACAGGGCCCAGGGAATGTGTCAAGACTCATCGCCGTCGACGTCATGACGGGATTATGGCGTCCCAGGGTCTGAGTTACCAGTCTGTAACATATCCCTAGCCTTGTGATTGGCATCGCCCGATCTCGATGCCGATCGCAAGGGCCCCCTCAGTTTCGGGGATGGTTAGGGTATAAGGGGTGTAAGTTTGGGGCTGGCGCGCGCGGCGTTTTTCTGGCTGTGCGTGTTACGCATGCGCTTTGTTGTGCAATGTCGCAAACTTTGTTTTACATCAGTGCGCATTGATGCTTTTTGGGGCAATGCGGCAATATCAGCTTGTGATTGATAAATGGTGCCTCTCCGGGGGCTGATGCATAGACCCCGCGGGTCGCGAAACAATTGTTTAATTACGCGCGCCAGCGGGTGGGGATCGTGTACACCCCTGCACGGCAGTCTCCAACCGATTGCCTGTCGTGCACATCCGAGGCGAAGCTTTCCCTTTTCTCAGACTGATTACTGACGTGCCAAAGTCGTCGTGCTCGTCGTCGCAGTCGCCGTCGCCGTCGCTGCTGTCGCCGTCGCCGTCTTCCATCGTTGTCCTCCGTCGTCGTCGTCGTCGTCGTCGTCGTCGTCGTCGTCGTCGTCGTCCGTCGTCCGTCGTCCGTCGTCCGTCGTCCGTCGTCCGTCGTTGTCGTCGTGGTCGTCATCGTCGTCGTCGGCTGCAGCGGGACTCGCAGCGCAGCACCCCCTTTGGGGCATCCGCAGTCCGTCGTCGTCCGTCGTCGTCGTAGGACATATTGCAGTGGAAGGGGGTGAGGGTGGAGAAGATGAAGGAAGAACCCTTTTCCGCCTGCCTCTGCCGCTCCTCCCCCATCTTCCTTTTTTTGTTTGTAGCCATGTCGGGGCCGCCCCCCCCACCCCCATGGGGCATCCGCAAGGCCTCGTCGTCATCCGCCGCCGCCGCCGCCGCCGCCGCCGTCGTCGTCGTCGTCGTCGTCGTCGTCGTCGTCGTCGTCGTCGTCGTCGTCGTCGTCGTCGTCATTGACGACCACGACGGGCATGCGCAGCGCACCCCCGCCGACGACTACAGCGAAGCATCCGCAGTGCGTGGTCGTCCGCCTTCGCAGTCGCCCTCGCCGTTGTCGTCGTCATCTTCGTCGACCTCGTCGTCGTCCCAGGAAATATTGCCGTGGAGGTATGGAGAAGATGAAGGAGGAATCCTTTCCGCCTGCCTCTGCCGCTACTCCCCCTCTCTTTTGTTTGTAGCCATGTCTGCACCGGCCGCCAGCTGAAGCGCCGCCTCCTCCCCCCCCCCCTTTCCCCCCTTCTTTCTCTCCTATTTGGGGCCCTTTTTCCCCGACCGCCCCGCTATATAGCGGAGGCGCTGCTGTCCCCCTCCGCTTAAGCGGCGCCGCTTGCGTCAAGCCTGTCGCCCTCCAGCTGTCGGCCGGGCGTCGGCTCCAACCACCGGTGCCGCCGCCGCGTGCTTCCATTGGTCGCCCCCCTCCCCGCAATTCGCCCGAGCAAGGAGATAATTTCTTCGTCACGCGCCCCGCTTGCTTTTATTCACCACCGTCCACGGCACGGGCCCAGATGTCTGGTAGGCCACGTTGTGTACAAGCACTGGACGGCGGATGAGTGCGCATCTCTCCCTATTGTTTTTGTTGTTGATGGTTGTGTGTTTCCCTCCTTTTTGTTTCCCTCTCTCTCTCTTGTGTTGTTCTCTCTCTCTCTCTCTCTCTTTCTCTCCCTATATTTTTTTAAAATTAGTTTTTCTCTCTCTCTCTCTCTCGCTCTCTCTCTCTCTCTATATATATATATATATATGTATGTCTCCTTTCCTCTCTCACTTTTTTGTTTTCTCTCTCTCTCTCTCTTTTCCCCTCTCTTCCTCTCTCCCTCTCTCTCTCTCTCTTTCTCTTTCTTTTATGCCGTGTATTTGCATGTTCCCATCGCCGTTTTCATATACTGAAAACGCGAGACAACGACGGAGAGAGGTCCTCGCGAAGCATCCCTGCGGCGGAATCGGCACAGCCAGTCGCGAGCTTTCCGGCGGAATATGGCTCTGCGACGGTCGATCCGACGCACTGCACATGCATTGTATTGAGGAGGGAAAGAAACACACAGACACAATGAATCGTCGACTCCCAGGAAAATATGGGAAAGTATGGGAAGTGGGGAGGAAGACAAAAACCCAGAAAATGTGGGAAAATATGGGGCATCATTTTATTTGTGTGTATTTATTTGTGTGTCCTTGTGCCCCTTGATAATATATATATATATATATACATATTTCCCCAATCAGAGCTTGCCTCTGCAGGAGTCCTAGCGGATTCGTATGAATAGGTTCGGTCTGCCGCCGTTTTTCGCCGCACGCCCAGGTGCCCGGGTGCCCGGGGGTGCCCGGGTGTGAGGTTGGCCGCCGATTTTCGCTACACGCCCGGTTGCCCCGGGGGTGCCCGGGGGTGCCTGGGTGCCCGGGCGTGCCCGGGCGTACCCTGGCGTGCCCGGGGGTGCCCGGGGGTGCCCTATAGCCCTATAGCCCTATATCAGGAGGAAAAGAAACACACAGACACAATTAATCCTCGATTCCCCAGAAAATATGGGAAAATATAGGAAGTGGGGGGGAAGACAGAAACCCAGAAAATATGGGAAAATATGCGGAATCTTTTTATTTGTGTGTATTTATTTGTGTGTCCTGGGGCCCCTTCACTATAGCCCTACAACTCTGTAGCCCTACAACTCTATAGCCCTATAGCTCGATAGCCCTATAGCCCTCCCCTGTGTCTTTCGTTTGGGGCGAGGCGGCGGCGGAGCATGGTGCATGCGACGCGCGACGCGCAACTCTTGGGGGTCCTACGCAACGGGCTGGAACGCCGCATGTGTGCGCCAGGGGGCTGCGGGCACGTGTGCGGCAGATAGCATCTGAATGGTCCTGCACGCCGTTCGGGGTGTTGGAGCTAGGGCTTCGGGAGAAGACGCCGGATCGGGGCCAAGGGGCCAGAAGCCTTTGAGGGTTCCGCCCCTTCGCCTCACCGAGCGCCGCCTACGTCAAGCACACACTTCCCTCGATCGTGTCGCAGCTGGGGCTTCGGGAGAAGACGCCGAGTGGGGCCAGATCCGGGGCCCCCTTGGGGCCAGAAGCGCTCCAAGGTCTTCGCCTCCTCCCCGAAGGTCACCGACGTCGAGGCTCTTTGGTTGTTCCCCCGCGCGCGCGCGCACGTGAGCACACGGTGCGCAGGTGTGCCGAGCACCTCGGTTCGCCCAGATATTGGATTCTTCCATAAGGCTTGCTCTCTCCACTGCTTCCTCTAGCCCTCACGCTGTCTCGGACAGCAGCGACGACACGAACGAACAGGCTCTTGGCCCTACATGCGGCTGGAAGTCCAGGAGTGAGGTGAGGAGGGGGGGCGACGGCACTGATGGCGAGGCCCACTCCGATCTCGCTTCTGCCATGCGATGTGCCCGGATTCTCCCATCAGGCCTGTCTTCCCCACGGCTTCCCCTGCCCCTCGCCTCGCCACTCGGGGCGCCACATCGTGGCAGGCGCGCCTTTCTGCCACCCAGCGCGCCACCTCGCCACGCGGTGCGCCACCTCGCGCCGCCACTCGGTGCGCCATCCCGCTTAGCCACTTGGGGCGATGGGCCATACCTGAACAGCCTGAAGCATGTCCCTGTCCCTATGACTTCCATCGCGTGCCCCGACGCCGATCTTGAGGATCCCCTAGCACGTCATCACCTTTCGGCTTGTCAATCTTTGGGGTACGGATCTGCTCGAGCCTGATTCATCTCGCCCTGGGGCCCCGAGCTTGCCTTTTGGCCAGGTGCGCCACGTGGAACACATGCGGGGACATGGCGGAGGACGATGTATACACGAGGTTCGCGGCCGCCCAGCTGCGCGCCTTCCGCGAGGCGTCCCACGGCTTCTTCTTCTGGAACTGGACCGAGGGGCCCGATAAGGACCTTCCGCTGGGGCTGGTCCAACATGTTGCACCCCTTCGGTGTTCTCGGGATCGTGATTCACTGGCTTTTCCCTCCTCGGCCTCCTCGGCCTCCTCCGCACGCCTCCTCCCTCCTCGGCCTCCTTGCCCAGGCTCTAGAAACAGGATGGAATTCCTAGTCGGCTTCCGACGTGCCCCGGGACGCTCGACACCACCCCACCGACCCACATGTGCGCCGCGGGTTCTGCTTTGCAGGCCGCGGAGCCCGAGACTGCGAGATAGCGCCTATCAGGGTCCATATTCCGATTCGATAGCGATTCCGGCTGGCCCGAGCTGATTCGAGTCCGAATTTCTTTCGATCCGTTTCGGCTTGACGTTTGCACGGCGTTGTTGTGCTTCTTGGCGCGGCCGATCCGATTCGATTCCGACTCCATGCCGATGCAGCCCGATCCGACCTACATTCCGACTCGATCAGGGTTGCCGATTCGATGTGTTCTTTGATTCAGGGGGGGAATCAGACACAGACAGAATCCAGTGTCGACTCATGGGAAATATGGGAAACGGGGGGAAGACGGAAACCGAGAAAATGTTGGAAGATATGATCGAATCTTGGGATGTGCATGCATTTCTTTGTGTGTCCCTGGGCCCCTCTGCCGTTGACTGCTCCTGCCCGCGGCGATCCTGCCCGCTGCCCGACGGGACCTCGCGGGCAGGGCTGCACGGGCGGCCCGGCCGAGGGGGCGCGCGCGGAGCCGCCCCCCAGGAGTGGAACTACCAGCTGGCCCGCGAGCTGGGGCTCTTCGACGGCGTCGCGCCCCCCGTGCCGCGCTGGAACGGCACCGGCGACCCGGCGGCGGAGCAGCCACGGAGATCACTGCTGGGGTTGCCGAGGGAGCATGGGGGTTTCGAAGCGGATGCGAGGGTGGAATATATATATATATATATATATATATATATATATATGTATCCGGCCTGGTCTGGCGCACACAAATGGGTCACAAGTGTCCTAGGTGGCTTAGGGCAATGGGATACTTGCATTCAGTGGGCTTCGCGCACTTCGACCATATCGGCCTCATTCAACCACTCAGGTTCATTACTCCCCTCTTATTATCTCAGCTAGGACAGACATATCCCATCTTGGCATCGGCTTCTGCGCCCCCTATCCCACTATCCCCTTAACAATTCCAGCGGTGATCTCAGCAGATCATGCGTTACCGAAAATTGTCAGTAACTCTCTGGACGTCGCGACCGAAATTCGGCTTCGGTCGTGTTTTTTGGTGGCGAGCGAGCTGTCGACGCCTTCGAAGCCCTCGCCTGGACCCCGACGCGACGTCTCTTCCTTAGTGAAGTTCGCCCTCCAGTCGTGACCGGAATGCTGCGCGACCAGCATCCGTCACGGACACATTCTGGTCGCGGATGAGTTGAGCAGCTTTGCCCAGAGGAGGGGCCGTCGAGGCGAGGGCGGGCCTCCCAGGCGTTTTTCGTCCTCTTTTGGCTTCCTGTAGTCGTATCATCGTCACCGCTGGGTCCGCCTCGAGACAGGGGGCTGGATGGACCTCGGGAGGGGTCCAGGATTGGGAGCCGTCTGGGGGCCTGGGGTGGCCTGGCACTGGTTCCGGCCAGCGGGTTCGAGGTGCCGCTGGGTTCGAGGTGCTGCCGGGTTCTAGTGTGTGTCTGTTGCCGTGTTCGGCCGTCGGGGGCCGTTTTCGGACCCCGCGACCGTCAAGAACGAATCCGGGGTGAAAGACTGCGCCAGATGGACCCCGGGAGGGGTCTGGCGACCGATCTTGAGCGGGTGGGGCCTCGACCCCCCGGGGCCCCAGCAAGCCCGGCCGTCCTGGCCGCCTCCAAGCCTGGGGATTGATTGTGGGCTGAAGTCGGGCATGTCCCTCTACAGGAGGAGCATTCGAAGATAATCCCAAAATAGTCTGGGGACGATTTTTTTAGTATTGCTTTGACTCGTTAGGAGCATGTTCTGAATGCTTTTGACTCTTCGTCCACCTGGAGGAGGGCATGCCCGACCCAATGGTGGGCGGATGTGTGCCGTGCGGGAGAGCCGCTCCTTGTCTCGACTGACCCTCCTCCGAGCTGCAGCGGCAGAGCTCTGCGGCCCACCGGTGGGGGCACCCGGCCCCGGGCGGCCAGAAGTTCGATGCCCCGCGGCAGGGCCGCGGGCCAGCAGGTCTGGAGGTAGTCAGGAGGGAAAAAAACACACAGAAACAATTAATCGTCGACTCCCAGGAAAATATGGGAAAATATGGGAATTGGGGGGGAAGACAAAAACCCAGAAAATATGAGAAAATATGGGGGATCCTTTTATTTGTGTCTATTTATTTGTGTGTCCCAGGGCCCCTTCAGGTAGGCCGGGCCTGCCCCTCTACCGGGAGGGAATGTTCAAAAATAGTTGAGAATCATATGGGGACGATTTTGTGAGAACTCTAACGTATGCTTTGCATGTTTCGGCTATTGCTCATGTTCGTCCAAGCTCCGCCTCTGAGGGGACACGCCCGACCCAACTCTGGAGGAAGAGCAAATTGCACAAACATGGCCTTCCGGAGGTCCGCGAGGACTTCTTGGATCTCCGCTGGACCACTCCCCTTGGCGCGTGGAGCGCGCCAGGGGCGGCGCCGGAGGCGCCGCCAGGGGGGGCCCAGCGCCGATGCAAGGCAGCGGCGAGGAGTGCCGAGAATTCATGTTTGCGCAGCTTCTTCCTCTTCGAGAGTTGTCGTTCCTCCTCGGCCGCCCTGGGACGGACGCCCTCCGCGGCGGAGCGCTCCATCTCCAGCCGCTCCGCCCGCCCGCCGAGGCGAGGACCCCCTGGAGCAGCAGCTGCACCCCTACGACGGGGACGCCCGCATCCGGTACGGCGACGCCGTCTACCTGCGGGTGTTCCACGGCAGGCGGCAACCCGCGCGGCGTGCGTCGTGCGCGGGGCGAGGGGGCGGGCCAGGGGAGGTGGAAGAGGAACAAGCTGCATCAGCAGGTGGCGGAGGCGGAAGCTGATCCTCTTCGAGGATGGAGGTGGAGGTGGAGGTGGAGGGGGTAAGCTGATCCTCCTCGAGGATGCAAAATGCTTGTACAAGAATCAACGTTTGGAGTTCCTCGCGGAGTTCTTGGATCGGCGTTGGAGCCCCTTGGCGGCGCTTCCGGCGCCGCCCCTGGCCCGCTCCGCGCGCCAGGGAGTGGGGCTCAGCGAAGTTCCAAGAAACACCCGCGGACCTCCAAACATTCGTTCTTACACAGTCACATCCTCGAACAGGATCAGGGCTACGCAGGCTTCGTTTGGCCGACGGTTTGTTCGAATCGGATCGATTCGGCTGGGTTGTTTCGCTTCGGTGTGTTCCTGTTTTCCTTCCATCTCGGGCTCGATTGAATATGCCGTCGGTTTCGGGTCGACTTGATTATGCCATTGATTCGATCGGCATTCAAGAGCCCTTATTAAAGGAACGATGCGTCGTTGCGTTGTCGCTTCAATTCCTCTGCCCCCGCTGCCGCCGGCCCCGAGACTGAGACAGTTGCAGATACATTGGAGCAGTGTTGTGGCCATCATGGGGCATCTTGGCGCTTCTTGGGCCGTCTGACGCCTTCGGAGGCTGTCTCGGAGGCCTCTCTGGGCCCTGTCTGTTGGGGCCCTCGACGGCCGTCTTGGGCCCCTATCGAGCCATCTTGGGGCCGTCGCGGTGGCATGTTGGGCATTCTCTCTGCCCTCCTGGGCGGTCGTAGGGCCATATTGGAGGCTTCTGGGGCCGTCCTGAGCTGTCGGAAGCTTTTACATTTGAGAACACGATAATGTTTTTTCTGCTTTGAGCAAAAACAACAGATGTTCGCCTTTTGGGGCTCTGGAGGGTCGTCTGGGGAGCCCTCGTGTACCGTATTCAGGGCCTCTTGTGCCCCTCCTGGGCCATCTTAGTTCCGTTCTTAGTAGTGCGAATGATTTGGGTTGGTCTGAGGCCAGCCGGCTCTAGGCGCCGCCCTGCTGTCGGCTGACAGCGGCGCGGCCTCTCTCGCCGGGCTCGCCTGCCGGGCACTCTGCCCCACGGGTCGCTGCTACCCGTCGGCCTGTGGCCCCATGATGGGTGACGATTGGCGCGTGCAGCATTCCACATTATTCAATAGATGTGTCATCGCCTGTGCTCCCTCTACTTCTGTATTAAAGCTGTCTGCAGGCTTCTTATTTTGTTTCCCCCTTCCCTTCCCTTCTCCCCCTCCTCCTCCTCCTCGTCCTTTTGCCTTCTCCGCCTCCTTCTCACTTGTCCCCCATTTGTTGCGGATCGTGCGGCGTATCGTCCACGACAGTTGCTCATTCAGCTGGCCAGGGCATTCTGGTTAGCCGGACCGCTCAATCTGGTGCTCTCTCGCCTGCGTCGCTTGCGCGTCGAGTTGCAGGGAAATTCACAACGTGCGTGGATTGAAATCATTTTCTAGCTGCCACCCACGCTCTGGAGGGGAATGCTTCTGTTGGGGGAAAATCATGTACCAGATTACCTTGGCAGCTGGAGTGTGGATCACTTCAGGCATGCAACATTTTCCAGCCATTCGCTGCGCGGAAAAAAACAAAAGACGCTTCACACAGTATCGAGCGTGGCCGACACGATTTGCTGTCCGCTGTGTTGTTCTGTCTGGACCTCGGGGTCCTCCTCACGGGCACGGTGAGGTTGCTATTGGTCTGTTGAGTGGTTCGGCGTCTTCTTGGTTGAGAAAATCCTAGAAGCATCTCGGGGACATCCTTCGCAGTCTGCGGATCAGTAGAGAGTCGGCAGCACCCTAGAGACGGGACAGGACAGGGACCAGACTAGTAAGTACACGAACAAATGCCCAGGGATGCACCCATCCGATTTGGAACACCTGGGATCATCTACGGGAACACTCGACAAGGGACTCGATTTCTTTCAAATGCTACACTGGACGGCTGTGTGTTGCACGCTCATGGGGCTTGTATGGTGCACCCAGAAGGAGAATTGTCACGAAGGATGAAGAGAGTCAGGCGACGACGACGATCAGAAACGGGTATGCTTCGAGCCCGCATGCCGCCGAGCTCCGCTAGGCCTCCCAGCAGCTCACGAAAGTTGCGAAAGTTGCGCAGTTGGCAGCCCCCAGAGGTAGCACGAGGTCTCGCCCGGGTGTGCGTGGGACTGCGCTCCACTGGATCTCCCATGATCCCACGAAGGTGATGGCTGTTGCACAGTTAGCAGCCACCGCAGGGTGCGCGAAGTTCCTTCGTCTGGGATTGCGTGAGATTGCGCTCCGCTGGGCCTGCGAGGATCTCACGAAATTTGCGACGGTTGCACAGTCGACAGCCCCCCGAATGAGCGCGATTCTTCCTCCCTGCGTCTGCGTGGGACCGCACTCCTCTGGGCCTCCCGGGAGCCAACCCGTGTGGCGACGGCAGCGCAGTTGGCAGCCCTCGCGAGGGAGCCGGAGGCATCGCCTGGGTGCGCGTGTGGATGCCATGCCGCCGGGCTTCCCAGGAGCCCAGCGGAGGCGGCGACGGTTGCGCAGTTGGCAGCCCCGCGAGGGAGCGCGAGGTTTCGTCTAGATCGGCGCGGTGGTCCCACTCCGCTGGGCCGGCCAGGAGCCCACGAAAGTAGCGACGGTTGCCTGGTCTTCACGTCCCCAAGCAGACCAAGAAACCAGCATGCCAGTCGTCATGACACGAATGCGCCCTTCCAGGCATCTTCCGATCTGATTGGGTCAATGCGCGCCCCAAGAGCTCCCCAAGAGTGCTGTCTGCCGCTGCTGGCAGGGGGGGTGTTCAAACCCATGGGGGGAGGTCCAGAACCTCCCCCCCCCCAGAAAACCAGTGGGGGGGTCCTCCAGATTGTCCCCCGCCCTCCTGAAATTGATTGCGGGGGGTCCAGAATCCCCCCCCCAAGGGAAAATCAGCGGGGGGCTCTAGATTCCCCCTCCCCCCTCGGAAATTTGCTGGGGGGAGTCCAGAGCCCCCCCCCCCGGAAAGATGAGTGGGGGGATCCAGATACCGCCCCCCCGGGGAAAGTTGATGGGGGAGGCCCAGACAGCACCCCTCCCCTCCCGCCAACGACGACGACGACGCACAATTCACGACGCACTACGCACGACGATACACGCCATTGACGACGACGACGACGACGACGACGACGACGACGACGACGACGACGACGACGACGACGACGACGACGACTACGACGACGACGACGGTTCACGACTCGCGACGCACTATGCACGACGCTCGACGCCATCGACGACGACGACGACGCCGACGACATTGACGACAACGACGACGACGACGACGACGACGACGGCACGCTGCACGACGTACGCCGCCATCGACGACGACGACGACGACGACGACGACGACGACGACGACGACAACGATGGGGGGGCCCAGAATCCCCCTTCCCCGGGCTCGACGACGACGACAACGACGACGACGCACGACGCACGCTGCACGACCCACGACGCCACCGACGACGACGACGACGCCCACGACGCTAATGCCGACGCCAACGCCGACAATGACGACGGCGTCGACGACGACGACGACCACGACGACGACGACGACGATGACAAGCAGAGTAGAGTAGGCGTAGAGCAGAGTATCCGCCGGCCCCCTTGTGGGGCCACCAGGCTGTACGCTCAGGGTTTGCTGTTCCCTGCGCCAGTTCCAGTTTCCAGCTTCCACCGTTACAGTTATGTTTCTTGTTGCTTACTGTTCCTTGTTGTAGACCGCTCGAGGGGGGGAGCCGAAAACCGCCCTGGTTAGCACCTCCCGGGAGGGGTCTCAGAATTTCTGAGGGGGGTCGAAATTAACACCCCTCAGATCGGCGGGGTCAGGGTCCAAAAACCCGTAGTATTGCCACATTTCTGAGATTCGGCGGCACCTCTCACGCAGATAAAGAGGGTCAGGGTCTACAAACACATGGGAAATACCACATTTCTGAAATTCGGCGGCGCCTCTCACGCAGACAAACAGGGTCAGGGTCTACAAACACATAGGATTTGCTACATATCTGAAATTCGGTGGCACCCCTTTCGCAGATCGGCGGGGTCAGGGTCCAAAAACCCATCGGATTTGCCACATATCTGAAATTCGGTGGCACCCCTTTCGCAGATCGGCGGGGTCAGGGTCCAAAAACCAATCGGATTTGCAACATGTCTGAAATTCGGCGGCACCTCTCATGCAGATAAACAGGGTCAGGGTCTACAAACACATGGGAAATATTACATTTCTGAAATTCGGCGGCGCCTCTCAGGCAGTTCGGCGTGGTCAGGGTCCAAAAACACATGGGATTTGCCACATATCTGAAATTCTAGACGCTTCGCGTATCCCCACCAGCCCGTCCAGAAACGACGCCCAGGCGAGTAGAGGGTCGTCCTGAGGGGCTTCTCGGCGTCTTGGGTGCCTCGGGGGGGCCTCTGTGGGCCGTTCGGGATCCTCTTTGGGGCCTCCTGGGGGCCTCTTGGGGCCTCTTGGGGCCATCTTAGGGCCTTTGGGGGCCTCCTGGGCGCTTCTTGGGGCCATCTTTGCACCCTCAGGAGGCCAAAATGGGGCCAAACGGGTCTCGTGGGGCCTCTTGGGGGTCTCTTGGGGGCCTCCTGGGGGCCTCTTGGGGGGCCTCTTGGGGCCATCTTGGGGCCATCCTGCGGCCTCTTGGGGCATCCTGGGGGCCTCTTGCGGCCATCGTGGAGGAAATCGATCAAGGAAGTGGGGTTCCCTAATTACAGCCCCCCCCCAGGAGCTCCAAAAATCGCTTCCTGGACCCCTCTTGGATCGCTCTTGGAGCGCTCGTGGCCGCTCTTGGAGCCATCCTGAGGCTCTCTTGGGCCCCTCTTGGAGCTATCTTGAGCCATCTTGGAGCCATCTTGACGCGTCGGATGTGCATCGCAAGCGAAAAACTGAGAACACCAAAAACATGTATTTTCCCTAGGGTTTTGAAGCATTTTGGCCTCTTGGATGCATCCTAATGATGCTCTTGTGGGCACTTGGAACCGTCTTGGGGAGTTCTTGGAGCGTCTTGGAACATCATGGGGACCATCTTGAGGCATCTTGCGCTATCTTGAGCCATCTTGGAGGGTATCTTGGGCTCCCTGAGGCCCTCTTGGAGCCGTCTTGGGCCATCTTGGGCGCTCCAACGCGCCGCGGAACCCCCTGTCCAGGTCAGTGGGGAGGGGGTAGGGGGAGGGGTAAACCCCTCCCCGAAGGGGAAGAAGGAGGGGTGGAAGAGGAAACGCTCTAAACCACCGACGCCCAGAGGGCTGGTGGGATTCGGCGGCACCCCTCACGTAGATCGGCGGGATCAGGGTCGAAAAACCAATCGGATTTGCCACAGTTTAGAATTCGGTAGCACCCTCACGCAGATTAGCGGGGTCAGGGTCGAAAAACCAATGGGACCTGCCACATTTCAATACTTCGTAGAAAAGCTTTTTGCACAGCATACGCGAGCAAGCTCGAAACACAACACCGAATTCAACAAGATCATCATAATCTCAATTTTTCTTGCTGGTTACTCATCGTCTTCGCGTGACGTCCCGACGCTGCTTCACGGCGGCACCAAGGCCTCATGATTTCGCTCTTGCATATCCCATTATCCAAGAGAGGGGGCCGGCGGCAGGGGGCGAAGCCCTTCCGGATCATATGAGTAACTTAGACGGTAGAGTCGAGTCAAGTAGATCTGAGTGGGACATGTTATGGTAGAGGAAGGTCGAGTATATTAGGGAGGTGTAGATGAGATAAGAGTAGAGTAGAGTCTAGTAGAACAGAGTACATGGGCCGGGTAGAACAGAAACGCAGACGAGGGTGTTCGGGTACGGTGGGGTAGAGAAAGGGGACAGACAGAGAGATAGAGTAGGGCGGGGTAGAGTAGAGTTAGCCAGATGTGTAGTAGAGTAGAATATGGTTGGGTACGGTAGGGTAGAGTCGAGTAGGGTAGAGTAGAGTAGAGTACGGCAGACACATAGAAAAGGCGTGTAGATAGGGTAGAGTCGTGCAACACTAGAGTAGAGCAGAGCAGAGCTGAGTAGAGCTGAGTAGGCCTAGGAGTAGAGAAGAGTAGGGGGGAAATATAGTATCTTAGTGTATGTTGTGGTACGGTAGTGTAGGGTACGGTGGAGTGGAGTAGGGCAAAGTAGAACAGAGCAGGGTAGAGTAGAGGAGGGGAAAGACACGTAGGAGGATAGTAGAGTAGAGGAAGAGGAAAGTTGAGTAGAGTAGAATGTTAGGGTACCGTAGGGAAGATTAGAATAGGGCAGTACGGTTGCATAGGGTAGAGTACAGTAGGGTCCTGAGAGAGCTGGATCGAGCCCTAGTAGCATCCTGTCAGAGCTGACGCCTGGTACGGGCGCTGGCGACAGGTGCGCCGCCGCCGCCGACGTCGTCGTCGTCGTCGTCGTCGTCGTCGTCGTCGTCGTCGTCGTCGTCGTCGTCGTCGTCGTCGTATCCTGGGGGGGTGTCTGGAACCCTTCAATATTTCACCCGGGAGGGATGGGGAAAGGAGGGGGGAGGGAGGACGGGGGGGTCCATGCAGACCCTCCTCTGGTTTTCCCGGGGGGGTCGGGGGGGGCCCAGGACTCCTTAGGTTCTTCCTGGGGGGGGCTTGGGGGGAGCGGGGGTGGGGGAGCTTGGAGAGGGGGAGCGGCCCCGCCCCCCTTGATAGAGCTTGCTCAGGCCACCGACGGTGGATCGCGCTCCCTCAGCGCTCCGCAGAGCAGAGCTTTTGCTGGCCCCCCGGGGCAGGAAAAGCAACGCTTCCATGTGTGAAGCCTCTTGCGCCTCCCTTTCCTGGATCCCCCATGTCAGTGATGAGTCAGGCCCGGCTTTTGCGGCGGGAGAGTCGGATCGCGCGCCGCCCCGCGCGAACGCTCAAAAATTGAGGAGCGAGAGGGTGGACCGCCCGCGCGACTGCCTTTCCCAGGGCAGCGCAGGGCCCGAGCACGGCCCCCCAGACATCGAAAGGAAGGGGACATCGCCGCGATGGAACACAGTGCATCCTCGGCAGTCCGGGCACGGTAGGTTTGCGTCGTGTCGACCAGCGGCGACCCCAGCGCGGGCGTTCAACGTTGAACGCCGCCGGCGACCCAGAATCGGTCGATGTTGAACGATCGGACGTTGCGGAGACGGCCGATCGTTCAAGGTTGAACGATCCAGCGCGGTGTCGGGAACCAACGCCGGGGTCGACACGGCACGAACCTGCCGCAGGCGAGTGGCGCCCTCCGCCCTGCCCCACGCTGCCCGGCGCGGGCCCCGAGGTGCATCGACGTGGTGGGCGCGAGCGTGGCGGCGCGCTGGCCCGACAAGGCCGGCGGGAGCCGCCCGGGCGAGGGGCCTGCGCGGGATCCAGGGCCCCGACCTTCGGGTGCCAGGGGGGGCGAGCTGCGTGAGCTGCTTCGCTGACCTTTTCCTTGCTGTCGCCCCCCTTTCGTCCTCCCCGCCCCTCCCCCCCCAGGCCCCCGACGCCATGATTTGTTCATGACGTCGACCCCGAGAGGGTTCGACCTATTCCCCTGGACAGGTTTTTAGTCGTTTTTCGACGGTCCCGAGGCCCGGCCAGGGCTACCCGAGGCCGAAAATTATGAAACATTTACCGTCGTGTTTTTTTCGCTGCTCGAGGGGGTTCGGGCCTGTTCCCGCGCCCCCTTCCCCCCTTTCCGCGGAGGAATCCAGGTATCCAGAGGTTCAGGAGGGAAAGGAACACACAGACAAAATGAATCGTCGATTCCCCAGAAAATCTGGGAACCTATGGGAAGTGTGGGGGGGAAGACGACCCCCCCCAAAAAAATGTGAAAATATGGGGAATGTGTTGTTTGTGTGTATTTATTTGCGTGTCCTTGGGCCCCTTTCACAGGTCCCCGCGGAGGCCTCCAGAGGCCCACAAGAAGGGCCAGCAGCGGCAAAGACGCCCGATCATCGATGCTCGTCTTAAGTCGGGCCTGTCCCTCTACAGGAGGAATATTCAAAAATAGTAAAGAATAGTCTGCGGACGATTTCCCTTGTATTTTTGACGACTCTGGGGTATTTGCTGGAGCACTTTGAATTTGTCTTGCAAATCTGCCTGTAGGGGGACATGCCCGACCTAGTGCTCGTCCCCCGGAGACCCCCGACACTCAGTGGTTTATCCACACCCTGACCACTGGATGCCCGAATTTTCTGGCCCCGGCCGAGGAGATCAGTCGCCACCGACGTTGCTTCAGATTCCGGCATCGGTCGCGGCCGACTTGCTTCAAAATCGGCCACGACCGGTCGGTCGCACTCGGTCGCGACTGATATGGAGCGCCGATCGGTCGCCGCCGATCGTGACCGACAAAAATTACAGTACCCAGTGATTGGTAAAGGGGGGAGGGGGCGGTCATCCTGCGACTTGACGCCGCCTGACCTCGAGGCCTGGCAGGGTCCATTTCGGACGTTTGAGGCCAGCTCCTGGAGGTTTCCCTTCGTCGGCGGCGAGCGAGGGGGGGAAGTTTCGGCTTCGAGGTTCGAGGTTTTCGGACGTTTTCGTAAGTTCCCAGCGGCTTGCCAGCCTCGGGATGCGTTCCAGCAGCTGCGCCTCGCCGAGAGCGTTCCGAGGGTGCCCAAGTTGGTCCGAACGGCCGCCGGAGACCCGAGTTATGACCCGCAGGCCGAGGTCGGTTCATTTCGACACGATCGATCCGATGCGATTTTGATTCTGGCCTGCCCAGTTTGGTTCGATTCCGAAATTTCGACGGTCCGATGAGGCCCGATACCGGCGTGGCGTTGCGCTGCAGCCTGGCGTGGCCGATGCGATTCGATTCCGACTTCGTGCCGCTGCAGTCCGATCCGACGCACATTCTGATTCGATGGGAGTTTGCCGGGCTTGGATTTGCCGCAACATGCTTGGGCGGCCCGGGCATACATGTTGATATCCTCGCGTCAATTTTCGAGCTGGGTCCCGTGGTATCTCCGACGGCCCCGTCAAGCAAAGTCGAATCCCAAACATCTCCTTTCTTACGTCTCCGAGGTGATGCAGCTTCTTCGTCCCCTCCTCCCCCTGCTGGCTGGAGGCGGGGTCTGCGTCGCAGCTGTGCCTTCGGCCGTTTCCCATACACAAGTGATAGAAGCGCGCACACCCAAACGACACCGCGCTTGTATCCACTTGTGCTCACAGGCCGCCACGAACTGCAGGGGAAGGGGAGAGGGAAGGGGGGGGGAGGGAGGAGGATGGAGCAAGTAGGAGGGAGCAGGGAGGAGAGGGAGGAGGAGAGGAGAGGGAGGATGAAGACGAGAGGAGTGGAGGGGGGAGGAGGAAGCAGGGAGGAGGAAAGGGAGGAGGAGGAGGAGGAGGACGAGGAGGAGGAGGAGCAGGGAAGGAGTAGGGGAGAGGATCGAGCAGAGGTCGAGGGAGCAGAAAAGGGGAACTAGGGCTCGAGAGAGAGGAGGGAAGAGGACGGGGAGCGAGGGTCACAAGCCAGGCGAAGGCTGGCAAACCCGTGGCTGCTAAAACGGAGCTCCGGGAAAATCTTGCCTCTTCTGGGAAGCAGCCCGTTTACTACTTAGTGCGCTGAGTTTTATTCCGGGAATTTGTATTTTTCTTCCGGGAAGACCGTTTCAGCAGCCACGGAATTGCCGGCCCTCGCCCAGCTTGCGAGGGGGAGGAGGGGGATGCCCAGATAAGCTATAGTTTGCCCACCTTAGCTGGGAGGCCATGCAAGCCAGTTCCCACCGTGGCACCCCCTCAGCAGACCCCGGCGGTGATCTCAGCTCTCTCCTCGGCGAGCGGCCGCCCCCTTGCGCCGGGCAGTGCGCCAGCGCAACCGTCTGCACGCCGTGGTTCGCCCACCCAGAACGGCTTGCTCAGGAGGCAGACATAGGCACAGGCGCAAGTAGTGGTCGATTCTGCGGAATCATGTATGCGAAGAAGGTAGGGATCACAATAAGCATAAACTTTTGGCACTCCGCGCAGAATTCTTGGATCCGCGCTGGGCCCCCCCAGCGGCGCCTCCGGCGCCGCCCCTGGCGCGCTCCGCGCGCCAGGGAGGGGGGGTCCAGCGCGGATCTACGGAATGCGCGCGGACCGTCAAAAGTTTATGTTTATGCCGTGTTAATCGTTCTGCTTCTTATTATTTGTATTATTCCCTACCTAGGCTTTACCCTGTGGGCTTAAAGGGCCGGGCAGTGCTCCCCGCCCCGGGCGGTTCCCCCGGCATCCGCCCCGCGGTTCCCCCAGTTACGTCCCCTTAGCTTAGCGTTGCTTATCTCATCTTAGCTTAGCTTATTTCATCTTAGCTGAGCTTAGCTGTATCTTAGCTCAGGTTTATCTTGTGTGTGCCAACCGCGTTGCCAGTCTAGTTTTCTGTTCAGGTAATTAGCATGGGTGTAATTCCCTACCTAGGCTCTGCCTAGAGGGTTAGCTTAGCTTAGCATAGCGCTGCGCTGCATTTGCATAGCATAGCATAGCCAAGCATAGCATAGCATAGCCAAGCATGGCATGGCATAGCACAGCATAGCATAGCATAACATAGCGCAGCATAGCATACCATATCATTGCATAGCATAGCATAGCATAGCATAACGCAGCTTAGCATGGCATAGCATAGCATAGCATAGCACATCATAGCTTGTAATAGCTTGGCATAGCACAGCGCAGCAGGACATAGCATAGCTTAGCATAGCATATCATACCATATCATTGCATATCATAGCGCAGCATAGCATGGCATAGCATAGCATAGCATAGCATAGCTACTGATGCTGCTTTCCTAGGGGCTCAAACTTCTAGGTAGGGTCGCACTGGGGTAATTATAGTTGTAATTGTTGTTACTAGTGTGAGTTGTATGATGAGTCGTCTTGTTGACGTAACTAGTATTATCATCCTGCTCATTATCCTTATTAGTATTCTTCTTATGTCTAGAGAATCGATGCAGAAACAATGATTCGTCGATTCCCAGGACAATATGCGAACCTATGAGAAGTGGAGGTGTGAAACGACAGTCCACAAAAGATGGAAGATAGTGAGGATCCTGAGCTGTGCATCTATTTATTTATGTGTGTCCTTGGGCCCCGTTAGTTTCTTCGAACCCTCCCTCTGGCGCTACCTCCTCTCCACGACCCCCCGACTCCAGCTGATTCCCTGTCCCCCCCGCTCTGATATTCCCCCGACGGTTCGGCCGTCCCGAGAGCGACCCCCCGAACCCATCTGATGCCCTGTCCCCCCGCTTTGACCTATCGCCCGTTTCGGCCGTCACGAGAGATGCCCGCCACTACGGAACATTCCCTCGACCCCATGCTGCGTTCGAGCAGGGCCGACCTGCGAGGGACGAGGGCCCTATGGAACCCGCGAAAGAAAAACGCCCTGCGTAAAAAGCATCCGACGCCCAGATCTCGGGGTCTGCCCTTGTCGACGCCGATCTTTTCCTCCGACGTCGCGTCTTTGTCGTGACGCTCCGTTGGGATCTCGACCCTTTGCCCTGCAGGGCCAGCTAGTTTTTCATCCGAAGTCTTGTCTTGACGACCATGGGACACAGCCTTTGGAGGCCGAAATTGTCTGGGACCCAGCCCCCGACCTTTCGACGAAAAAGGAAGCCGCTCAGAAGTGGAGGGAAGCCCTGGGATACACCCCGGGGGGGCCATTCGGACGCACCCCCATCGAAGATGGACGCCCCCCATCGTGTATCCTGGGGTTGGGCGGCCCAACCCCAGGATACACGATGGCGACGCCCGCCTTCGCGGGGAAGGCCGGCCTCTTCGGCGGCCGACGCACGCGCGACGCACGGGCGACGCATGCGCGACGCACCTTGTGTTTCGAGGGGGGGGGGGTCAGCACGCCGGTTGCTTTACTGGGCCTTAACAGTTGGGCCCCACATGTTTGGTCCGTTCGAGCACACCACGAAGCCGGGGATAGCGGTCGACCCCGCCCCTGTCAGACATAACCCGCCGGCCTCGCCGTGCCAGGACGACTGGCAGGAGTTCGCGTTCTGCCCCGCTGCCCCCGCGGCGCCGCCCCTCAAGGGCGTGGGGAAGCAGGCGCGGGGAGCCGCGACCCCGGGAGGCCAGTGGTCAGGAGCGAAAGAAGGACGTACATGTACATGAATCCGCGCTGGTTTCGAGATTTCGCATTCGGCAAATATTCGTATCACGCGGCCGGTCTCGCGGGTCAAGGGGCCGTGTTCATGTACATAGCTGGGCGCGTACGTCCTTTGTGGGCTCCCCAAGTGGACGGGAATGGGACCAGAGGTCGGTGGTCCCAGGACTGCGATTGTCTAGGCCTCCCTGATGGGGTCGGAACCGATGGGGTCGGAGGGTCGCGCGGCTCGGTGTGGAGGCCAATCTTCTCCACGCCGGCGTCGCCGATGCAGCGCCGACTTCGCGAATGTATCGCCGATGCATCTGCGATGCGGCGATCTTCTGACACACCCTATTTGGGGATGTCGCTCGTGTGTGTCTGTAGTGTTTGTCTCGATACCCCTTATCCAGCTTCTTCACGCTGCGTGAGCTTGCCTGGCCCGCGCGCTCCCGCCTAACTTGACCTACGCCGCGCCGCCGCGCGAGTGGCCGCGACGCCATCAGTGTGTGGTGTGGTGTCTGGTGTGTGGTGTGTGGTGTGTGGTGTGTGGTGTGTGTGTGCGTATGTGTGTGGCATGTGTGGTATGTCTGTGTGTGTGTTTGCTTCAAGCCGGGCGTTCGGCCCCGATCTCGGCCACTGGGGGGGGATCGCTTGCGAGCCGCGAGGGTCCAGCAGAAGTGGATCCTGGGAGGAAGGCCTGCCCCCCAGGAGAGGTGTCCGGAGCTCTGGGGCCGCGCAGTCACGGGTTGGATCCGCGATTGTCGAGGATTCACGAGGCATCCTCGAGGACTCGACGGGCATCCTCGAGGATCCGGATGCTCAGAGCTCACGGTGTCTGGGCTGTCGGGCTTCGGAAGCTCTTGGATGTCTACTATGAACACGAAGATCACGGAGAGGAACTTTGGCTTAGCGTGTCGCGCCGCCATTTCTGTCCCACCACGCTTTGGCGCAACACGCTGTCCACGTTTGGGTCTCCAAGCGTCAACGTCCCGAGCTTTTTCTGTCCCTCGTCCCGCGCAGCGGAGCGACACGCTATCAGCTCGCAGGGCATAGCGTGTCGCGGGGTCCGCCGCCGCAACTTTCGAAGCAAAAGTTCCTGACCGAAATTTCTCTTCGTTGGTCCTCAACTTCGTGAACGTACTCTTTGGGGTTGCTTCCGGGTTGCCTTCAGTTTTGCCCGCAGATTGCGCACCGCTCGCGTCTCCAGTGCGGCTTGCTTGCCTGTCACGCCGATCTTCCGCTGGGACAGTACTTCTGGCCTTCTTTCAGGTCGCCTATGGCATGCACTTTGGCTCGCTGTTGGCACGCGTGTCGCGCGGTCGTGGCTTCTCTCCGTGTGGTCGGCTTGCCTTGCTTGGGGTCGCGCGGGGCTCACCAGCGTGTTCGCAGCTGCCGGGCGACGAAAGGGCGCACAGGGCGCACCTGGTATGCTCAGAAGCTTGGGGCACACACGCACACACACACACATATATATATATATATATATACGTTCGCAGATGTGTATATATATACATAAATATGTGTATATACACATGTGTATGTAAATGTGTACATATATAATTGTACAGATCGCCGATCCGGCGTGTGAGGATCAAAAAGAGCCTGAACTTCATCTCTTCAGGGGGGGGGCGGGGGGGCTCTGCCGGGGAAGGGCCCAGGGTTGAAACCCCCCTGCTCCGCTTGTGCTCCGCTTTGTTCGGCTTTCTTGGGGGGCCTCGGACACGTCAAACTGTACAACTCAGGACCTCTTGGGCCCTACACAATCGCTGAACGATCGGGCCCAGACGCTCAAGATAGCCTCCAGGCGGTCGCAAAAGTGCCCAAGACGTCCCCAGAGGCCCCCAAGAGGGCGCTAAGATGCAAACACCATGCAATTCCGATGGGAAGACATAAACTTTTAGGATGCCCGACTTCTCGGCCTTCGCGACGTCCAAGACGCCCCAAAGCAGTTCCTAATACAGTCCAAGACACCCCCGAAAACCGCCCCAAGACCCCCTCGATGCCCCAAGCGGCCCCCCAGAGCACCCAAGAGTCCCCTATGAGGTTCCCAAGGCGCCCCAAGAGGCCCTAAAACGGCGCTCAATAGGTTTCAACATTGTTTCCAGAAAGCTCCCGCACAAACATCTGGCTGCCCCCAAATCGGCGGCATTGGCCAGAGGCCGTTGTAATCCTTTTTTTTTCTGATATATTCATATATATATATATACATACACACATGCAAATGAATGTATATTTAGGTGTATATACATGCGCACACACATCTCAATGTACCGAAGGATCTGTATGTACACATTTTCCTGTACATGTGATCTCCTGCCGCTGCGCGTAGGGGCTGGGTTTGTCACAGGGAGGAGGGCGGCGCCAGGTGCGGGCAAACGACATCGTGCGGCTCCGCGCCAAGAACGGCCGCTACCTCACCATGGCAAAGGGCGCCGTCTCGGCGCAGAGGTCAGCCACCGGAAGGCCCCAGCGGCAGAAATGGCAACGTGCGCCCCGGCGGCACGTGATTCCAGTGTCTTGTTTCGGGGCTAGAGACGGGGGTCAGTGCAAACGGGGGACAGTCAGAGCGCACAATCCTGCAGAATCCTGCAGGGCCAGGGTCGCACAGACCCGGGCTCGGGTGCTGGGTCCTGCAGGGCCCTGCAGGACCTTGCAGGATCCCGGGTCAGTAGAGCCCCGACTATTTTAGTGCCGTCTCGCACATGCGGCCCGAGTTCCCAGTCGATCCAGGCGCGCCGACGCGGGCGTCGGAGGCCGTCGCTCCTGATCTCCAGTCGGGTGCACCCCGAGAGAAGCCGCACAGCATACATCGAGGCTCTGACACGGCACCTGCGCTCTCCAAGGCGACCAAGACAGCCGAAGATGGCTTCCAAGACGGGCTTGGGAGGCCACAGAGGCCGCCAATATGGCCGAAGAGCGCTCCAAGACGGCCCAAGAGGCCCCAAAGAAACCCCAAGAGCGATGATAGGGTCGGAGGATCTCGCCGTACCGTCGATGCATCGGCTGTGCGGCTCGATGCGGAGCCAGGTGTTCTCCACGCTGGCGCCGCCGATGCATCGTTGATGTCGCCGATGCATCGCCGATGCATCCATCGGCGATGCATCGCCGATGTATCGGCGATGCGGCGCAACCCTCCGACCCCATCTACTCCGACCCCATCTGGGAGGCCTCTAATGCAGCGGGGAAGAGGATGGGGCCTCAGCAGGCAGTTCAATTCTCCTGCGCAGCTGCGTTCTTGCTCTGGGGCTCGGCGTGCGTTCGTGGCTCGTGGTTCGTCGTCCCCTTGCCCCTAGAGCCCTCCCGTGGCTTCCCTGGCGGGTGCTCCCCCCCTGGCCTTCGTCCTGGTCTTAAGTCGGGCATGCCCTCTACAGGAGAAATATTCAAGAATGGTAGAAAAAACAGTATGGGGACGCTTTTTCGTGCTCGCTCGTTTGACTACGTTTGATGATGTTTCTTTGTATATGTTGATTACTTCTTATCCGTTGGTGTTTGCCCCCTGCCGCCAGCCCCCTCTCTATCAGAATGGGATATATCAGAGTCGCGTCGGTGCGTCTCGGCGCTGCCCTGGCGCATGCCAGAACATCATGCGGGGCGGAAAGGAATCATCAGCGCATATTGAGACGTTGGCGTTATCGAAGACGCCTACGGCGAGTCACCGCCTCCCCCTGCCTTTTCGGAAGCGCCTACGTGGCCGAACTTTGATGCCAGAGCCCTGCCAAGGTATCGGACAATGAATCGGCTTGGAAAGCCTTCGGGGAACACGCGGGGGAGGACGGGGAAGAGGAGGAGAGGACTGGGCGTGTTCGGGGCCCCCTGGGGGGGGCTCTTGTGAGCTTTTGGAGGCGTCGTGGGGCCTGCTGGCCGAAGGTTGGGTCAGATACTTGCCAATCTTTTGGAGCGAGCGTTCCCCGAATCGGTTTGGAAAGCTTTCGGGGAACACGTGGAGGAGGTTGGCCCTTTCGGGCCTTCCTGGGGGACGTCTTTGAGGACTCCTGGGCCGTCTTGGAGGCCTCTTGCAGGCCGTTTGGGCCGTCGTAGGCCATCTTGAGGCCATCTTGGGCAGTCTTGGGTGCATCTGGGGGCCATCTTCGCCGTCTTGGAGGCCATCTTGGCCGTCTTGGAGGCATCTTGAAGGTCATCTTGGCCGTCAGTCTAAGGCCATCTTGAGGTTATCGTGGGCAGTCAGGGGTACATCTTGGGGCCATCTTAGCCACCTTGGAGACCATCGTTGCCGTCTCCGAGGCATCTTGGAGGCAATCTTGGCTTTCTTGGAGGGCATCTTGGGCGTCTTAGGGGCCTCTTGGGCCTTCTTGGGGCCTTCTTGGGGCCCTCATGAAAGCCTCTTTGGCTGTCATGGTGCCATCTTGGAGGCCTCTTGAGCGCTCCTGGGGCGATGCTGGGCGCCTCTTGGGCCGTGTTGGGCCGTCGGAGAGCTGAGAAGAAGAACATGCAAGCATCCTTCAATTACGCTACCGAGGAACCCCACATACTGATGATGTTTAATCCTATGCGTTTGCTTGTCATTATCATCTATGCGCAATCCTGCGTTCTAAACCCTTGTCGCGAATCGTCGTCGTACTTGTCGTACTCGTCGTCGTACTGGTCGCACTCGTCGTCGTAACATGCGGAGAGCACCACTCCGCTTGCGCATCGGCGCGAGCTCTCCACACTGACCTCGCCGCCCGTCAGAACCAAGGCGGCATGACTGCCGCGCGCAGGGAGGCCGGTGCTCTGAAGTAGGACTACAGGAGCGCGCCTGCGTGAGAGCGCAGGCGCGCCGAGCCGGCTGGAGCCAAGGTGTGTACAGTTCATGACAAGATACGAGCTCCAACCCCCAGCGCACCCCGTCGGGTGTCGAAACAGTGCCACGCCTGCCACGCTTTGCGAGCCCCAAACGCATAGGGCCCCCACCCCCAGCGCACCCCCTCTGGTGTCGAGACAGTGCCGCGCCTGCCACGCTTTGCGAGCCCGAAACGCATAGGGCCCCCACCCCCAGCGCACCCCCTCTGGTGTCGAGGAAGCGCCACGCCTGCCATGCTTTGCGAGCCCGAAACGCATAGGGCCCCCACCCCCAGCGCACCCCCTCTGGTGTCGAGGAAGTGCCACGCCTGCCACGCTTTGCGAGCCCGAAACGCATAGGGCCCCCACCCCCAGCGCACCCCCTCTGGTGTCGAGGAAGTGCCACGCCTGCCACGCTTTGCGAGCCCGAAACGCATAGGGCCCCCACCCCCAGCGCACCCCCTCTGGTGTCGAGGAAGTGCCACGCCTGCCACGCTTTGCGAGCCCGAAACGCATAGGGCCCCCACCCCCAGCGCACCCCCTCTGGTGTCGAGGAAGTGCCACGCCTGCCACGCTTTGCGAGCCCGAAGCGCATAGGGCCCCCACCCCCAGCGCACCCCCTCTGGTGTCGAGGAAGTGCCACGCCTGCCACGCTTTGCGAGCCCGAAACGCATAGGGCCCCCACCCCCAGCGCACCCCCTCTGGTGTTGCCATGCCCCCACCCCCAGCGCACCCCCTCTGGTGTCGAGGAAGTGCCACGCCTGCCACGCTCTGCAAGCCCGAGCGCATAGGGCCCCCACCCCTGGTGTCGAGGAAGTGCGACGCTTGCCACGCTTTGCGAGCCCGAAACGCATAGAGCCCCCACCCCCAGCGCACCCCCTCTGGTGTCGAGGAAGTGCCGTGCCTGCCACGCTTGGCGAGCCGTGTCGAGACAGTGCCACGCCTGCCACGCGTTGCGAGCCCCAAACGCATAGGACCCCCACCCCTACCGCACCCCCTCTGGTGTCGAGGAAGTGCCACGCCTGCCACGCTTTGCGAGCCCGAAACGCAGAGGGCCCCCACCCCCAGCGCACCCCCTCTGGTGTCGAGGAAGTGCCACGCCTGCCACGCTTTGCGAGCCCGAAACGCATGGGCCCCCACCCCCAGCGCACCCCCTCTGGTGTCGAGGAAGTGCCACGCCTGCCACGCTTTGCGAGCCCGAAACGCATAGGGGCCCCACCCCCAGCGCACCCCCTCTGGTGTCGAGGAAGTGCCACGCCTGCCACGCTTTGCGAGCCCGAAGCGCATAGGGCCCCCACCCCCAGCGCACCCCCTCTGGTGTCGAGGAAGTGCACGCCTGCCACGCTTTGCGAGCCCGAAACGCATAGGGCCCCCACCCCCAGCGCACCCCCTCTGGTGTCGAGGAAGTGCCACGCCTGCCACGCTTTGCGAGCCCGAAGCGCAGAGGGCCCCCACCCCCAGCGCACCCCCTCTGGGTCGAGGAAGTGCCACGCCTGCCACGCTTTGCGAGCCCGAAACGCATAGGGCCCCCACCCCCAGCGCACCCCCTCTGGTGTCGAGGATGTCGAGAAAATGCTACCCGTGCCACGCTCTGCCGTGCCGTGCCCTGCGCGCCTGCCCTGTGTGCTATGCTGAGCTGTGCGGTGCCGAGCTGAGCTGGGCTGTGCTGAGCTGTGCTGTGCTGCGCTGTGCTGTGCTGTGCTGCGCTGAGCTGTGCTATGCTGTGCTGTGCTGTGCTGTGCTGTGCTGCGTTGAGCTGTGCTATGCTGTGCTGTGCTGTGCTGTGCTGTGTTGTGCTGCGTTGTGTGAGAAGGAAAGAGAAAGGTGAAGTGTGTGAGAGGGGTGTGATGCTGTGTTGTGTGTGTGGGGGGGGGGAGGGGAGGTGTGTGTGTGTGTGGTGTGTGTGTGTGTGTGTGTGTGTGTGTGTGTGTGTGTGTGTGTGTGTGTGTGTGTGTGTGTGTGTGTGTGTGTGTGCGTGTGTGTGTGTGTGTGTGTGTGTGTGAGGAGACGCGGGTGCGACGCGGCAGAGAAGAAAACCAGAACCCCACGAAACATGTGGGGAACAACCAACGGGATATCGACATACGGACTTTCGGGAACCTTCCAGGAGCCTGGCGGGCTGGGCCGAAGTCCCAGGGGGGGTTCTTTTGGCAGGAAAGGAACCAGGTCCGAAAGGACCAAAACCAGAACCAGAACCAAATCCGAAAGGACCTAGCACGCCAGGCACTCCTGTGATGAATCAACAGGGGGCGGCGGATCGAAGACGCCTGCGGCGAATCACCGCCGCCCCCTGCCTTTTTGGAAGCGCCTACGTGACCGAACGTTGAGGCCAGACCTGCCAAGCTATCGGACCATGTGTTCCCCGAATCGGTTTGGAAAGCCTTCGGGGAACACGTGGGCATCTTGAAGGTCATCTTGGCCGTCTGGATGCCATTTTGACCCTTCCGGGCCTTCTTGGAGGACGCCTTGGAGGGCTCTTGGGCCATCTTGGAGGCCATCTTGAGCGTCTTGGAGGCCTCTTGGGCCGTCTTGGGGGCCTTTTGGGGCCGTCTGGGCCTATTGGGCGATCTTTGGGGGCGCTTGGGCCGTCTCGGGCCGTCCCAAGGCAGAAAAAAAGCAAATGCCACAATCCTACAACTCATTGGAAATCAATGATATTAGCCTTTTCGGGCCTTCGTGGAGGC